AGCAAAAATGTTATTAAACAAGCTTGCACATCATCCGACAAGTTTAGTCGAAGATGTAAAGAAGTTACAGTTAGGAGTTATAAGTTTATGGAAAAGTACTAGATAAGCTCTCTAACAGGTGCAGCGGCGGGAAGCTCGAATGGATGCCTATGATAAGCGGCGGACAAAGCAACGAAACAAAAACAAATATATATGGTGTCTCGTTCCCAAACAGCCTCTTTTCTAGGTTTGGCCAGTTACTAAAGAAGTTATGTTAAAGACTTCACGGTCATAGCTCGGCCACTTACCGCCATACTCAAGGGAGAGCATAGCACTGTTAGTAAGCACATGTCAAAGAAGGTTTCGGGCGAATTTACTGAGATCCAACCCAGAGCGTTTGAACACCTGCCAGACATCATCAGAAGATGTCATACTTACCTATCCAGACTTTAAACTCCTTTTGAATTGACCACTGATGCCTCAGCAAGCGCTATTGGTTCAGTCCTGACTCAAAATATCAGGCCCATTACTATGATGGCTCGCATATTGAAAGACTGCGAGCTATTGTTTAGCCATAGCCATTGCTAAGGCCATAGGAAAATTACGATATTACTATATGGCACCAAAGAAATCCGGATTTTTACGAATCATCAACCGCTCATCTTCGCTATGTCTGAACGAAACACTAACTCGAAAATTAAACGATGGAAAGCATTCATCGAAGAGCATAGTGCTAAAATTTTCTACAAACCTGGTAAAGAAAATTTCGTCGCCGACGCCTTGTCCCGCCAAAACGTTAAGGGGTTAGACCACACAAATTGTAGGGTTTTTAAAAAACTAATTTTGACAAAGTTACTAAAAATACAACTTTTTATTGGTTGAAATATTAAAGTACATTTTTTGAACAAAAAAAATTATTACAAGAAAAAATATATATACAATTGGCGGAGATATCGCCAATCACATAAAGCACTTTTTTTTTGCTAAGCTAAAAATTTATTACCTAAAAGAAAATCATATCGAAAAAATCCTACGTCATGCCATAGAGTATATTTATTATTATTATAGAAAAGCTGAGTAAAAAATATGATGGGAATCGGTCCAGCAAGAAGCAGAAGTTGGGGGTCACACTTGTCCCATCGTATGTTGGCGAAATTATGCATATTGACATCTATTCTACTGACAAAAAGTTGTTTTTAACCAGTATCGACAAATTTTTTAAATTCTCCATATTACAACCATTATCGTCTAGAGCCACTGTGGACGTACGTAGTCCCATTTTACAACTGTTAAACTTCTTCCCAAAAACCAGAACAATATACTGCGACAAAGAGGCATCCTTTAATTCGGAGACCATAAGGTCATTATTAAAAAAACAATATGACAAACAATGTCGTTTACGCACCCCCTTTATACAGTAAATCCAATGAGCAGGTGGAACGATTCCACACACGACACCGCTGAGCTACGGTAAAGGATATAAGGTATAAGATTGCACTCAGTCACCAACCTGTAACCTATAGAGGCCATACACTCAGCCAACAACTAACAAAAACTGGTAAAAAGACACAGCATGGCGCAACAGGCTTATCTAGAAAGGTGCAGCCCAACCAGGCAAAACCGAAACTTTTAGGTAGGCGAAAAGGTATACCTTAAAAACAACAAAAGGTTAGGGAATATACGAACTGCACTGTACACAGGAGAACGTGAACAAGCAGACATAAGAACGTCTGTCCTCATTAGAGAGAGGGCGATCCATAAGGACAACCTCAGTTAAAGTTCCTCTTTATTTTTTTTTAGCATTTTTTACACGCACCTTACACTTAAGCATACGTACCGTATTATATGCACAATAGATTTAATCTTTCTCTTTCTTGAAGGATTGCGACAATCGTATTAATTATGTTAGCCATAGTTAACGCTAGGGTGACCGGCTTCGCACGACCAATATATCCCCAATACAGACGGAGTCGCACTGGTGTGGGAACAGAGAAATGTGCTGCGACATTCAAGTAATCTCACAGAGTTTTCTACTATGATAGAAGAAACTGCTTGGTTGTCCGAGTTATTCCCAGTGTCGCATATGCGAAAGCTGTTAGACATTGGCATAAACCATATCAGAGATTTATTGTCCGTATTATAAGTGTAATTATTAGGATTGCCAGGAGCTTAGACTTCCTAAGTACTGCACAAGGTAATAGCGGGCACACCTGATGCATCCGACCTTCAAATGCTAAAATTGTCCAAACTCAGAGTAGTAGAATCCAATAACAGGCATCATTAATACTTAGACACAAAATAAAATAAATAAACTAACAGAGGCAGTTAACAAAATCATTTAAGAAAAACGAAACAATATGGTTGACACTCCACACTTATACGAGGATCTCTTGACAAGAAATATAATATTAATAACAAAGATTTAACACTTAATGATTACTGTTACGCTTGCAAAAGCCAATATTATAAACACAGCTATTTTTAACCACAATGATTTGAAGTCTGTAATTATTGATCACTCCACAGAAGTCCTTATCATAAGCCTTATAGAGGCATCCAATATTAAAATCATTCAGTCCGATAGTTCCTAACACTAAAGCTAGATGCAGAAAGTTTACAATCTTTCCCGTATCATACCAACACACCATCCTGCAACTACAGGACAAAGTAGTAGCCGAATGTAACAATGAAGTAATCGATTGCGTTTTACTTACCATCACACTGGTAGACGACGGTATAATAATAATCAACGAGTGCCCCGATAAAGTTAGCACAGACGATGGACCCAAAAGAGTTACTAATGGCTCACATCTTATAACATTTGAACGGGTGGCTTTCTTCAATGGCAACAAATAGTTCAACCAGCGAAAAACTATTAAGAAATCACCTGGCATGGCGGCATCCCCTTTGCTAAATATCATCAGCCATAACCCAGCGTTAAGTATCCCACTACTCCAAAGAATGAACCAACCAAACTCGGAGGTTATCCAAGGACTTAAGGAGGAGGTAAATCAGCTGGAACTACAGATATCTGTTTTAGCTGCTCCATCCTACTCTTTCGAATGCTGAGGAAGAACAAGCTGCTTAGGAAATACGACAGGTCATTGACAAGTTCCAGATGACCGAGGACGAGAATATTTAATAATTAGTCATAGTTAATAAGTAGCCATAGTTTGTTATAAGTCTGGGTGATTATTGAATCGCCCTAGTGTTTTATATGCAAACTCAGCATAAAAGCTTTAGGGGCCGTGTCTGGGTCCAATTGGTTCACGGTATGGTGAGTTATGCTATTTTTGGTAGTGGCAGCACTTTGCTCTAACGAGCGGCCGGCTTGCCGGCCACGCTTAGCTTGAGTACAGTTAATAAGTTTAAGTTTTGATTGAATTGTAATCAAGAATTGGCTATCTCGCCTTAAGGGCAGATAACAACGGAGAGAGTTCTCCCATCATATAGCTTACTTTGGACAGAGGGAAGGCAAGACGGCAAGCCCCGTTACACCCCGTACCCCCGTGACTGCTGCGTGGAAACAACACGGAGACACACACTTAAAACATAATTTACATATCAATTTAACTAGAAAACAAATTCCGGAAAATTAATGAGTTTTCCATTCACACCATCTAGGTTCAAGTCGCACCCAGATAAAAATCAATTCGGCAAATGAATTTATTAACTGAATACACTTCACTTACCTTGCTAAAATGTAACTGAAACTTTAACTAAAACACTTGTGAATGTAGACTCAAATCTAAATGAAAACAGAACTTGGAGAAGACCAAAAATTCTAGCGCGTATAAGCGATCAAAGCATTGCCTTGTAATTAGAACCACATAATGCAGATAAACAAATAAAAATATTTTGGCAAATTTATAATATCTTCCAATATACCATTAATTAATAAAGAAGTTAAAAAAAAGAAGTAAATTCTGGCCGGATATTATGTATTTTTGTATTTAAAAGATTTTAAAAGCCCAGAAAAGCTTACGTATATTATTATTACTTAAACTTTTTACGATTTTAAGGAACTCGGCCTTGCAACGAAGTAACGATAATGTTTGACCAAGCTGTTAAATAGCTAAAAATGCCAGATTGAGTACCGGTGCATTTAAATTTAGCATACAACCAAGACTTTATATTTTCGAGGCGACGTAACTCTTTATTAAACCAAGGAGGCTTATTTCAGATTGACCAATTAATCAGATTCATTCTCTAAAGCAGTCTCAATGTCGATAGTTATGTCGAAAGTAGGAAAGTAGGCCTAACAGACTCTCGTCGGATCAGAGATAAAACGTTGAACTACTACAAGCACTCTCAGAAATTTTTGAGTTGGGACAACGAAATGTTACATGCCGGTAATAAAATCATGTTGTAGTAAGTATTTGTGGTATGGTTCCACACCAAAATCAGTTCCGACACACAGGAACTTAACATCAGTGCAATCCTTGAATCATGCCTTTCAACGTCGAGCCTGACCCCGCAGTACTAGCGCAAGCCGATGTTTCAAAATTTAGTTAATTTAAGGATGATTTGAAAAACATATAAGTTAAATTTTTTTCAATTTTTAAACAACTTTTTTTATTTTCCAAAGGAGCAATTTTCTGCGGACAACCAATAAAGCGCAGCATGCCTTTAGAAAAGACAAGGCAGCTGGCTGTTCCCTTTCCTGTTCTTTGGAATATAGAATATATATGTATAAATTAAATCTCGCTAAAATACAAGTAGGACTTTGCTACGCCTGCTCTAGGGCTCTGCCGATCATTAATTTATAGTAAAATCAAAAATATAATCTAAATCTCTTCAAATGGTCCCGTATATCTTCTACTTCGACAACGATATTTGTGGTGAACTAATTTCAAAAATTTATTTTAAATCGATTTATTAGACTAGACGTAAAACATTGTCATGCTTTCAGGCAAAATAACAAATCGATTTTTTACGTTACAAAGACTCATTTATTGTTAATCGATCAACAGGCAATTAAAAGCATTCCTATTGATTTTTAAATAAAGGATTTCACTTACTTTTCTTTAAGTTTTGAACGTAAACAGAACAAATACTTTTTATTAACTAAATGTATGGCGTTGTCCCTGTGACTAAACCACGACAAAAAAATATTTTATATTTAGCTTTATTGTGCTCAAATTTCCTGAAAGATGGCAAAAAAAAATTACATATTTTTTCAACTTAAAATAAGTGATAATTGGTTAAAGTTAAATGAACAGAAATCATGTCACTAGTTTATATTTGCACGTGATGAATATAAAGATTTAATGAAAATTGGGCTGTAATCTTATTGTTAATAACAACAAAATGTAAAAAAATAAGAACAAAAACCAAAAATTATATATATACATTGCAAATAACCAATATGCTCCTAATTTTTGGTAACGGTAGCGGTTGTAGGAACTAGTCTGGAGAAGTTTAAGAAGCTACAGTTTAGTAATGTCTTTTTGTAGGGTCATTCAGATAATTTTAAACACGGAAATTAATACATAAATAAGTAATTTACATAACTAAATATAACGCATAAGATACTACTAAATTCTACACGCCGAAGTTTCTTTACCCTAACATCATTAAGAATCAATTCAACTCAAATAAAAAGAAAAAACAAAAAAGGAAGCTAACTTTGATCGCCGAAGTTTGTATACTCTTGTAGATTGCATTCCGAAGTAATTATTAATACAATATAAATTATATATTCAAAATCATATATATATCTATATTAAAACGAAATAATTATTATTATTATAACTACAGTTTTATGCTTACAGTTTTACATTCACAGTTTGTCTTATTTGTTTGTTCTATGACAGATTTTCATAAGAAATTCTGAAATACTGAAATTCGGGAATATTTTATGTTAAGGGCTATATCTCAAATTTGATAAAACTATGTTGAAAACTGAAAAATGTATAATTTTTAATTGTATTAATTTCTCGATCGTTCCGAATTTCAACATAATTTAAACTAAAATTTTTGAATACAAAAATTGGAAAGTCTTTAAAAACTTTAAAAGTGAAAGTTTTCTAATTACTTTCTGGTTGTTCCTCTGGTAACTATATGTCCATTCTGACTTATAAATATAAGTCGGAATACTTTGAATACTAACTGCAAAGTTTTTTAACTTATTTTTAACTTAACTTGTTCCTTGCTCAAATTTTCCCGGCAACACATTTTCCGTTTTGGGGTCGTTAATGCAGAAGTCGATTGTGTAAACACGGAGTTTATGACCTCTTGACAACTGGTTTATTTGAATATAAATTGAAAGATCGTCCATCGTCATCTGAATGAAGCGTAAACATCTTTCTCCGTTTCTCCGCAAACTAGTTTCGAAGCTATCTGAATGAAACTCTGCAGTTAGTATTCTATATACTCTCACTCGTATATTTGTCGGAACGGGCTAGATTGGAGAACTATATCATAGGAACGATCGGAGATTTTATCCAAAAAACAAATATTAAACTTTTTCAGTTTTAAACAGATTTTTAGAAAAAGAGAGATATAGGCATTTTGTATTATTCTAGAATTTCGGTTTTAATTTTATGCAATTCGGACGACTATATCATATAGAGACTACAATATGCAAAACTGTGAATGTAAAAATGTAAATATGTATATGTAGATGAATCAAATGAAAGCAGGCATTACTTCATTGTTTTTTAACATAAATATATATAATTTGTATTGTAATAATTCCTAGTCATCGAAGTTTTATCTGTAAGGGTGTATAAACTTTGGCGTGCCGAAGTTAGTTTCCTTTCTTGTTTTCTTTTTAATTTAAAGTTTTTCCTGAATTTTTTCCATACCTCTCATGATTTATTTCATCATGACCCGAGCAGCGACGGCGGTATCATGAATTACCCCGCACACAAATTAATAAAAGCGAATGAGAACTTTACATAAATGGTAAGCCCTACCCACCAAACGGGTTCGCATGAAAGTCATCAGGAATTTGGCTGAAAAGTCCGATTGGGATGTTCATAACAGTTCACAGACCGTCTTCCAATCATAACAGTAAGGTCTCAAAAAGGAAATCGACGATTTTTAAGCACTTATTTCTTCCTTTCATTGACGGGTTGGTCATCTGTTCGATTGTATGATACCAATGATCTTCGTGTCCTCTTATTATATTTTGTCTTTCTTCGCTTTAGTTTTGTGAATACACTTGTTGATGATGATGTTCGTTCGCACGTCGTCCTTTTGGACTATAACCTCAAATGCACTATCCACATAATTTCACATTTCAACTTACCACCTTAAAAACAAATGCCTACAATTTATTTATTTAATTGTTTCCAACTGAAATGTTAGGAAACGACTACTTGATATATTGGTTTGTAGTAAATGCTATACATCAGCGATGGTTTTCTTGCTTTTCTGTCGAACGGGATAAAAAGTATCCTATGTCCGTCTCCTGGCTCTAAGCTACCTCCCTACCAATTTTCACCCAAATCTGTTTTGCCGTTCTTGAGTTATTAGTGGTGTAACAGACACGACTTTCTTTTATATATAAATATTGTATTAGTTACTAGTCATCAAAGTTCTATCTGCAAGGGTATATAAACTTCGGTGTGCCGAAGTAAGCTTTTTTTCTTGTTTTTATAAGTATTGAAAACGTAAGTTTTGGAAGCTTTGTAAGGAAATTTTGAATAGGAGTTTGCAGCTCCTTTAAGATTTATGCTCGATGGACTGCATGTTCAGTGATTTCTTCAGTTGCCTGGTTACAAGTGATCGTTTGTTTTCAAAACGCTCAAGTAGGGCTTTTCAGGCCTAGCTTAAGCCACCGATGGTGAGTGGCGAATCGGAACCTATGGAATGAACTTCACCACTAGCGTTGGCTTATCTGAATGGCATCAATATATATATATATGCTCTGTTCGTGTCTACTTCCTTTATAGACTTGAAAAGTTTTGAACCGTTTATGCCCAAATTTTGACACAACATGCGTTGAGGTTCCAGCTCGGTTATTGTCTACTTTTGATGTTAATAGCTTATCTGTGTTTGTGAATATATCAGTTTTTGTCGGCCACGCTTAGCTTGAGTACAGTTAATAAGTTTAAGTTTTGATTGAATTGTAATCAAGAATTGGCTATCTCGCCTTAAGGGCAGATAACAACGGAGAGAGTTCTCCCATCATATAGCTTACTTTGGACAGAGGGAAGGCAAGACGGCAAGCCCCGTTACACCCCGTACCCCCGTGACTGCTGCGTGGAAACAACACGGAGACACACACTTCAAACATAATTTACATATCAATTTAACTAGAAAACAAATTCCGGAAAATTAATGAGTTTTCCATTCACACCATCTAGGTTCAAGTCGCACCCAGATAAAAATCAATTCGGCAAATGAATTTATTAACTGAATACACTTCACTTACCTTGCTAAAATGTAACTGAAACTTTAACTAAAACACTTGTGAATGTAGACTCAAATCTAAATGAAAACAGAACTTGGAGAAGACCAAAAATTCTAGCGCGTATAAGCGATCAAAGCATTGCCTTGTAATTAGAACCACATAATGCAGATAAACAAATAAAAATATTTTGGCAAATTTATAATATCTTCCAATATACCATTAATTAATAAAGAAGTTAAAAAAAAGAAGTAAATTCTGGCCGGATATTATGTATTTTTGTATTTAAAAGATTTTAAAAGCCCAGAAAAGCTTACGTATATTATTATTACTTAAACTTTTTACGATTTTAAGGAACTCGGCCTTGCAACGAAGTAACGATAATGTTTGACCAAGCTGTTAAATAGCTAAAAATGCCAGATTGAGTACCGGTGCATTTAAATTTAGCATACAACCAAGACTTTATATTTTCGAGGCGACGTAACTCTTTATTAAACCAAGGAGGCTTATTTCAGATTGACCAATTAATCAGATTCATTCTCTAAAGCAGTCTCAATGTCGATAGTTATGTCGAAAGTAGGAAAGTAGGCCTAAAAGACTCTCGTCGGATCAGAGATAAAACGTTGAACTACTACAAGCACTCTCAGAAATTTTTGAGTTGGGACAACGAAATGTTACATGCCGGTAATAAAATCATGTTGTAGTAAGTATTTGTGGTATGGTTCCACACCAAAATCAGTTCCGACACACAGGAACTTAACATCAGTGCAATCCTTGAATCATGCCTTTCAACGTCGAGCCTGACCCCGCAGTACTAGCGCAAGCCGATGTTTCAAAATTTAGTTAATTTAAGGATGATTTGAAAAACATATAAGTTAAATTTTTTTCAATTTTTAAACAACTTTTTTTATTTTCCAAAGGAGCAATTTTCTGCGGACAACCAATAAAGCGCAGCATGCCTTTAGAAAAGACAAGGCAGCTGGCTGTTCCCTTTCCTGTTCTTTGGAATATAGAATATATATGTATAAATTAAATCTCGCTAAAATACAAGTAGGACTTTGCTACGCCTGCTCTAGGGCTCTGCCGATCATTAATTTATAGTAAAATCAAAAATATAATCTAAATCTCTTCAAATGGTCCCGTATATCTTCTACTTCGACAACGATATTTGTGGTGAACTAATTTCAAAAATTTATTTTAAATCGATTTATTAGACTAGACGTAAAACATTGTCATGCTTTCAGGCAAAATAACAAATCGATTTTTTACGTTACAAAGACTCATTTATTGTTAATCGATCAACAGGCAATTAAAAGCATTCCTATTGATTTTTAAATAAAGGATTTCACTTACTTTTCTTTAAGTTTTGAACGTAAACAGAACAAATACTTTTTATTAACTAAATGTATGGCGTTGTCCCTGTGACTAAACCACGACAAAAAAATATTTTATATTTAGCTTTATTGTGCTCAAATTTCCTGAAAGATGGCAAAAAAAAATTACATATTTTTTCAACTTAAAATAAGTGATAATTGGTTAAAGTTAAATGAACAGAAATCATGTCACTAGTTTATATTTGCACGTGATGAATATAAAGATTTAATGAAAATTGGGCTGTAATCTTATTGTTAATAACAACAAAATGTAAAAAAATAAGAACAAAAACCAAAAATTATATATATACATTGCAAA